CTTACCTACAGTCCTTTCGCTACTGCCATGCCAGTATGTAGGAAATCTCTAGTTTGGAAGATTTATTACAAATGGCTGCTCTAGTGAAAAAGGCAGTTTCACGAGAGAAATTTGTTGTGGTGGAAAGTCTGGCAGGTTTTAGGAAGGCAGGTTTGCCACATTTCCTTTCTGAAGTAGCTAAGTGGTCTTATGTTAATTAGGCTGCCAAAAAGAGAGGTTTATTTACACAAACATTCTGTCAATTGTGCTCTGTAGTGAAAGCTCGAAGAGTGATCACCTTGAGTCTTTGTTGAACTTTTGAGCTTCAGGTTGTGTAAAAGATGGGAGAGCAAGTGATTAAGAAACACTTCAGATTAGCATAATAGATTCTAAGGCAGTTACTTAACCTTCCCTGGTAGCCTCCTTTTTTTTTGTGTCACCTACCTATTAAATTTCTTTTCACATTGATAAGCAAAACTAACCTGGATTCATGTAGATCTAGTTAGTGCTGTGTGGATCAAAAGTGCCATTTACTTTTATGAGAAAACTGGAGAAGTACTGGTCAGACTTGTTTCAGCTAGGTGGTGCTTGGTGCATGAGCATTCAGAGAAAAAATTAGCCCTTTAAAGCTAGAGTCAGGGCCACTGAGATGGCTCAGCTGGTAAAGGTACCTAACACTGAGCCCAATGGCCTGACTTCTGTTTTCGGGACTAACATGATAGAAAAAGAAGGAACTCCTCTAAGTTGTCCTCTGACCTCCACACATCTGTCTGTCTGTCTGTCTGTCTGTCTCTCTCTCTTTCTCACACACACTCACATAGATACACACAAACACTGATGTGCATGTACAGTTTTGTGTATGTGTTCATACATTTGTGCACATACACGCATACTTTTGTGTATGTGCACACATATTTTGTGCATGTGCACACACACAACACACACATACATATAAATGAAATGTGATAACAAAACCTCCAGCTCTTTAAAAATGACTCCTTAAATCTTTTTCTTCTCATCTATAAAATGAAGAGGATGAGCATAAAAATATCCACCTAACTTAGAGCGTGAGAGGGACTATGGTTGCATGACAAGTCAGTGAACCCTTGTTAAAGAAGATCAAAGCTACCCCGACTATTTGGCATCTAGAATTACATAAAAGACAAGTGTTGGGATGAATTTAGTCTTCGGAAACTGTGGATAGTAGAGTTCTGTGGTGCCTAGGCTGGCACGCCTGGCTTGCTTAGCGCGGTTTGGACGATAAGGAGAAACCATCTGCCAATCAAAGCAGAGAGCCTGGTAGTGGGAAATAAAGAGAAACACATAGTGCTGGCTTGCAGGTGTAGTGACACTTGGAGGAGTGGGAAGGAATCCAGTGATGGAGTTAAGTAGACCACGGAAGTGAGAGAAGAACACAAGGAGAATCTTTCCACACATTGTAAAAGTTCGTTGTAAAAGTATGTATGTGTGAGGGGCTGGCAAGAAGGAATGGTCAAGATAGATTGAGGAATTCCTTAAGCTAATTGTCCCAGTAATTCTAGCAACTGGGAACAGAGGCCAGAGAATCACAGATTGGAGGCCAACACAATTAAGACCCCATCTCAAATACAGAACAAAAGACAGCGCTGGCTGAGCCTTGAAGGGCCCTTTCTAGTGCACACTCAGATTGAGGAGCAGGCTGGTGAGTTTTGAAGAAATTTTCCAAGACACTGAAACAGCTATGCAGAAAACAGCAATTTCCCAGAAAGCAAAGCTAAGGACACAAGGATACTAATGACACAAACGCTTTCACTGTAGTGAACAGAGATTCCAGAAGGAACAGTCAAGTTAAAAATAAAAAGACCCAGGAAAGTCTGATTCTGTAATTGTTACCCTGTTACCTGAAATATCTAGTTTCAAACAATTTTGAGATCTGTAAAGAGTATAAAGAATGTGAGTCATAGTGAGAAAGAAAGCAGTTACAAGAACTGACTCGAAGTGTCTCCAAATAGACTTTGCAAAGAATTAAAAATGATTTTCGTAAACAACGAATAAAATAAAATGATGTAAATAAAAGAATGAAAAGAAATGTTCAAATAACTAAAGGGGAATATTGGCACATTGACTCATTTTTAATAATGAAAGAAAATTTTAATAATCAAAGAGAAGTTATCAAGCCTTACTCTTTTGGATGCCACTATAAATAGAAATTATTTAATTTTATCTTTGGATGCTTACTATTTATCTTTAGAATACACTCTTAAAAGAGTTTGCTTCTTATCCAAAAATTTATTTTTGTTTACCTTTTCTATGATTTATTATATATAATATCATGTGATCTGTGATTAGAGAACTTTTTAAGCATGCATTTTTATTTATTTGTCTGTGTGTGCGCACACGCATGCACAGGTGCCTGTGCAGGTTGTCAAAGGGAGTTGGCTCCTCTGAAGCTGGAAACTGAGCCCTGGTCTTCTGGAGGAGCAGCAGGTGCTCATGCCTGTGTCCAGCCCCTGAATGGTTAGTCCCCTTCCAGAAGAGATGGCTTTACCTCTTTTCCTTGCCTCTTTTGGCATGGCTGGAAGCTCCAGGGGGATGTCATGTAGCAGTGAAAACGTGCATCCTTGTCTTGCTCCTAATCTCAGGAAGACATCTGCCTCAAGTCCACGTCATTTTGTAGGTGGGGTGGAGTGGTGGAGAGCTCAGTTTTCAAGTTGAGAGGACGTTCTTTTATTTCTATATTGTAGAATGTCTTTATCAGGAAATGGTGTTATTTGGGTAAATGTCTTTTCTTGCATCAGTTAGGACCGCCGTTTTTAAACTTTGATCTCATTGGTCTGTTGTGTTACATGGGTTTTTTATTTATTTTTCAATGTTGGCCTATTCTTATTTTCTTTGAATAAATCGCATTTGTCCATGGTTCATCTGCTCTTTTTAGTATGTTGTTGGATTTACTTTTTGTCTATTTATTTTATGTGTATGGGTGTTTTTTTTCTGCATGCTTGTATACACAACATGCATGCTGGAGCTCTCTGAGGCCTTGGCAATGGCCAATGTATACATGGTTGTGAGCTGCCATTTAGGTGTTGGGAATTGAACCTGGGTTTGCTGGAAGAGCACCAGCTCTTGACTGTCGAACCACCTTCCCAGTCCCCTAGTTGTTTAAATTTATAAAGAAAATTTTTCACCTACATTCATGATGGACTTTAGTCTATACAATTTTTTATGAGTTTTTTGTTTGTTTGTTTGTTTGATTGTTTTTGGTTTGGCTTTGATATCATAATGCTGGCCTATAGAAGGAGTGAGAAAGTGTTCTGTTATTCTAAAATTACTAGAAGAAAGATGGATGTGTGTTAATTCACTTTTCGACCTAGCATCTCTGAAGTCTGCAGTTATTTTATCTGTAATGTCCTGTGTTATCAGTAGGCAACAGGTGTCACAGAACCTTCAAAGCAAGCAGTAGGCTCTAAATGGTTAAATTTTTATTTCTGACTACTTTGAAGGCAGTTTTATTTGTAACAATCTTGACTTTCTTCTGGGAGAATTTTGAGTTGAGTCTCAGTGAAGAAGAGATAGTGCTTTGTCTGTACCTCTGTCCTGCTCTCGTCTGTCCGTATGTATGATGAAATTTTCATTTTTTGTTGTATAATTGAGTCACAGAATTTCATTCTGTTTCTGTGATTTGTACTTGTTAGTAATATCCTCTGTTTGATGAGACACTTCTGTTTGGCTTTGTTAATGTGAGTTCTTTATTTTCTGCTCTGGCTGGGCTGAGACTTGAACCCTGGGCTTCATATGTGCTAGTCTAGAGTTCTGCCACTGAGGCCCATCCCAAGCTCTCCTTTGCTGCTCTGGCCATGGTTTTCTCCAGCTCTTGGATGTGCACTAGCTGTTGACTTATTGTCTAGGAAGTCAGGTATCTGGGCTTCTTCATGTGCAGTTTCTAATGACTTTTCCTTGTTAGTGGGCCTCCTTGCTCTGTCTCTCATTTATACATATGCCTTTTTATTATATAGCATATATTTGATTGTGTGTTACATTTACTTGGCAGTGTGAGTATTCTTGTATGATAGTTCTGGGAATTATATTTTCTGTAGGATATATTGTTGTTCAAGGCCTCTGCTTACGTGAATCACTCAGTAGTCATGTGACAAAGATGGCTTTAATGCTGAAATGTGGCTGCCTTTTTTTTTTTCTTGGTTAATGTAAACCACTTATTAGTTTGTAGAATTTTAATATAATTGACAGTTTTGTCAGTTTTTGTAAGGGAGGGAATAGACTGTGGTTTGAACTTTTCTGTCATTTTTGCTAACAGTCTTGTGCTTCTGAATAACCATCAGGAAAGATATCACGGAATATTGGAAATATTGGAATTGAAGGGAATGAAACCCAATAGCTTCCTTTGTCTGTACCTCTGTCCTGCTGTTATTTGTCCGTATGTATGATGAAATTTTCATTTTTTGTTGTTATTCAATTGTGTCACAGAATTTCATTCTGTTTCTGTAATTTGTACTTGTTAGTAATCCTCTGTTTGATGGGACAGCTGAACAGATGAGAAGGAATTCATAGCTGTCAGTGCATGTGTGTTAAACAGTGGGTTTCATGAACTGAGCCTGGGGCAAGGCAAATCTGCTAGGTTTTATAAAGTTTTATTGACACACAGCCTTGCAAAAAATGTGTGTACAAGGCTATATGTGCCAATAAAACTTACTTTTCTTTTGTGGTTTGGAAGATGGAGTTTCTGCCAGAGATGTAGATCTGGGCTGCTGTGTGCTTTGGTGTGACTGGGATTGAGTTCATGATGAATTTTGTATTAAACGATAACTCCACAGGGCTCAAAAACTCTTTGGGCCAGAGTTCTTCTTTCTGGTCCTTTGGTGAGAATCATGCTTCTTTTGGAGTTTCAACACTGCGTAGCTGTTACGTTGCAGCCCTGCCACGCAGGCAGCATTAGGCTCTGAGCAGAAGGGATAAAAGAGGAGAGCAAGCAGAAAAGCGACCACTCTCCTGGCAGAGCCACATTTTCTGGTTCTCTGGCCATAGGGATGGTGGCCTTGGCAGTGTTTGTTGTGTTTGCTGTGCGGGGCTACACAGGCGCCACTTTCATTTCCAAGCAGGGGAATAAAAAGGTTCAGGCAGGGACCAACAAAAGCAAGCAAAAGAGTCATTCCACTTTCTGTTCATTCTTCATAATTTTTCTTCCCTCTTCATCCTACCCGTTACTAATTTGTAGAGTCTTGAGGCAGTTGCTCCCACTATGCTGTCAAGAGCTTTTGCCAACAATCTCGTGCTTTTCAATAACAACCCATCAAGGAAGACATCACAGGAATAGTGAAAATATTACGAATTGAAGGAAATGAAACCCAATACAGAAACATGATATACAGCTAAAGCAGAGAGAAGGAGTTCAGTTTATCAGTAGGTTTTACTTGTGAGCAGGAGCATGTGAAGGACTTACACCATCATTATTGGTGTGGGAGCAGCATTCATTGGGTGTTTCTTCTGTGTTTACACTACACCTTTTGGGGAACACACAATGCTTGTGATTTCTTCAGGCTCAAGGTTTAAATGTAATAGTCTAGCTTGGAGACCTACAACTCTTGGTTGTATAGAGTTATTATAAGACAGAGCTGTGACAGTAATGATTTTATACTTCTTAGTCTGCTTCAGACAACATTGTAGAAGCTGTAGCTGTGCTTTTTAAATCTTGTGATCACCTATTAGATAAATGTTATATTATTCCCATTTTAAGAATAAGGAATTTGGGGTGTGAAGAGGCTGCACAATTTGGTAAAGCTATCATTCAAACTTGAAGATAAGGTTATTGTGTTAAAACTCTGTTTTTCCTAAAACTTTTAATTACTTTTATGAAAATTTTTGTGTATGAGACAAAGTGGAAAATAGCAAAACAAACTCATTAGACATTGTTCACCAAACTTCAGCAATGTACTGCTTTTCTTGTTTTAACCTTTCAACATTTTTTAAAAATTTCAAGAAAGACTAATAAAGCATATTTTAGGTATAATTTCTCATAAACATTAGAGTAAATATAATGATAATACAATTATCAATATAATCATAATATAAAAAACAAAAAATTAATTTCTTTTATATTCTCTAACATCTGTTTGGTGTCCAGTTTTGTCTGATTGCCTCAGAAGTGTTTCTCATGGTTGGTTTGGCTCGGTGTCTCCATTTTCCTACCTGTTGTTATTTTTGATGTGTCTCCACATCTTCAGAGATTTGCCTGGACCCTAACCCTGTCTCCAGCACTTCTTTCATGATAGAACTTTAAGTTCTTTCAAAGTAGGTTTTCACTCTTGAGTAGTGTGATTCCTGTGGCCGTGTTTGGGATGTGTAGTGTGAGTTGATGTGGGCTGATTGTAGGTTTACAGGAAGAGTGCGGAGATAGTGCAGAGGCTCCTCCGCCCTGCCCCCAGGGCTTCCTTGGCCTGGTTCATTTATGTTTCTGAAGTACATTGGCCCAAACTGGCATCAGGATGGGTCCATTACTAGTAATTACAGATTAATCTCTGTTTTGATTTGATCAGTTTCTTCACTAATGTTCTTTTCTATTCTGTCCCAGGATCCAGGTCAGGATTTACACTGGTAGTTATTTCTGCTTAATCCTTTTTGGATCAGAACTGTTATATTCCTCTTTTTTTTTTTTTTTTTTTTTTTTTTTTTATGACCTTGAACTTTTGGATTCTCAAGCAGGTGTTTTGTGGGCCGGTCAGCATTAGCCGTGTATCTGTTGGCAGTAGACAGGGTTAGGGTTTCTCGGGTAGCAAACCTCTTACACTTCTCTTTTGTCTTGTATCTCAGAGTTCATGTGTTCCACAGTCAGGCAAAAGCCTCAGAGGACTCTCTTTTCTCCCTTGTCTCTTTTCTGTTCCGTAAGCATAAGCATTTCTCATTTGTGTTTGGTTTGTCCTCGTAATTCTATTTCAATATAAGGAAACAGAAAGATACACCATTAGTATCATCCTGTTTTCTTCCCTTCCTCTCCCCACCTAAAAGATAGTGCTGGTTCCTGTTTGTAGCCTGTGTCACCAGACTTTTTGCTCTGTAGGGCAGTCTTTGAGTTTTTTGGTGGTGTCCACTTGTACCCAATAGAATATTTGCCATAAGCCCTTAAGTTTGTCATATTGCTGTGTCTTGGATAACATTTAGCAAATATATGGTTCCTTTTGTAATTCACAGATATTTTCCAATTTGTCCCTGGATGAGCGCTGCCTTTCTGCATCGTTGGTTTGCAAGTACTGGCGTGACCTTTGTTTAGATTTCCAGTTCTGGAAGCAGCTGGACCTTAGTAGTCGTCAGCAGGTAAGGAGTTGAAATCTATTAAAGCCTTACCTGATACACTCGGGTGAGGTAAAATCTTTATTCTCTTTCCAATAATTGCAGTCTACAATCTTATGCTTTCTTTTTTAAAAAAGTAATTTTCCAAAAAATCTAATGCCTTTTACTTGTGCGCTCACACACACCCCCACCCCCACCCCCCACGCACCTACCCACACATCTGCATATTTAGTGTATATAGAAGTTCAAGTGAGAGCTAGGTGGAAAAGATAGTTTCTAATGTAGACCAGTAATTACGAGTCTTCACTTTGTCTTAGTTCTTTTTGTATCTCTCTTTATCATCATCATTTCAAAACCATGAACCTTTTCATTTAGGGAGGTTATAACCTAAAAGTTTAACAGCAGAGAATGTTGGCACGCATGCCTCTGCCCCGTGCAATGTACTGTTCCAGAGGCTTTATACGTAAGAATTTATTAACCTCCCTGCAGCTCTAATAAGGTGATGTTGTTTCCTGTGTTATGCATAAAGAAATGGAAATAAACTGGGCTAACATAACTCTTTTTGAAACAACAGAAAAACATTTTTTGGGAAGTTTTCCAATTTCTCTGTTGAGTTCTCAATGTACTTACATGGTAGCATAGATTAGGAAAAAAGATGGGATTTATAGTGCTGATTGCAGACAGTTTGCTAGAGCTCTTAGGCTCATTCTTTATAGGGCATGGGTATTTAGCATTAGAGATACGTGAAAGCACCCAATAAAAATATGATCTTAGGAATCCTAACCTGCTCTAAATTCCTCATGATTTGTTACCATTGGTGCACTGGGAAGCATTTGATGACAGGTTTTCTTAAAAAAAAAAAAAAAAAAAAGCAGATTTGTAATTCCCCCCCAGGCTTACTTCAGTCTACTCCTGTCATCTTACCAAGTTTAGATTACAGGGTGTGCACATAGTAGACTTTCGTGAATTAAGCCAAGCAAGTTTTGACACACCATTAAGTAAGTTTCAGAACATTCATTCACAAGGCTTTCTGTCTTGCCTCCTGGTGGTAAGAGGCTAAAACATCTTGGGTTCCTGAACTATATGTACAGCAAGCATGGGGGGAAGGAAGGGAAGGGAAGTGGATGGAAAGAGGCCCTCTGTCTCCTGCTGAGGCAGCTTTTTCCTTTCAACTCATCCTGAGCAGTTTTCCTCCCCTGGGGTTCCTAAGGCCTGGAGAGGAGAAAATAAAAGCACAGAGTTGTAGCTTCCACGCTCCCTTCAGCAGACACAGAGGTGGCTCTATTTGTGGCTCTCCTCCAAGCACTCAACAGTTTCCCTTTTTGCATTTTAAGCGTTATCTGCATTTTCTCTTTCCTTTTTTTTTTTTTTTTGTCACAAGGCACAAGGACATTAACTCTGATTTCTCTTTTGAAATGTAATTGCAGTGGGAACATTCGTGGCTGGTATTTTATTATCATTTTAAGTTCAGGTGGCTGTGTAAATTTTTTGCCAGATGAACTGCTTATGTGAATTTAGCATTGACTCTTATGAGTAGTTTTCTGTCAGAGACTTCTCTAGCCTCTGCTGTGTTGCTCCACAGTGATGCGTTGTCTCACTGTGAATGGACTGCCTGTGAGGTAGTCCTCTGGTAGCAGTAAAGCTTGTAGTTTGCATACTGTAATGCCAAGCAAGAACATTCCATTCATGGGACGGGGAATGCAGCCCCTGGTTGATGCTTGCCTGCTGTATGGTCAGTTCTTAGCACCAAAACCCAAACCAAAACAACTGCTAAACCAAATCAAAACCAATTCGTGTAACATACCAATTTATATGTAATACTTGCTTCATGGCAAAACATTCTAAATCTCAATGTAGATTTATTCATAGTTTTTGGCGAGCTTGAAGGTTTAATGGAAAGTAGCATGTATATCCTCCTTGTTTTCTGATACCACTTCTAGGACTGACTGTGCAGCGCCTGCTCCACACTAACTAGTTTTCTGTCAAACTGTGTGCTCAGGAGTGAGTGGGGGCCCCTAGGTTAAGGGTCCTGGAAACCCATCTCCAAGTCAGATGTCAGTTACAAAGCTTAGGAGCCAGCCATTCTACACCAAACAGCTGTAAATTCATGAGGTCCAATGTTCACCTCAGGCTTGATAAGTAGCAGCAACTGTTCATGAACACTGGAAACAATTTTACTTACAAGTTTCTGGTATGATTAAGGATACAACCAGAAACCAGAAACATGGAAAAGTCACATGTCAAGATAGGGATGGATATTCAGTCTGCAGACTTCAGGGTTCTTTATTAACTGACTTGTAACCTAATCTCCAGGAAGCTTTTTCTTCCTCTCCTCAGGGGGTTAGAGGGATGGCAGCTCCATTCTCTGATCACCTACTGATTGGTTAGTGTTGATTTTGTTTTTCTTCCTGGAGTTTGAACCAGGATCTCGTCCATGCCAGGTGAGCACTCTTCAATTGAGCCAAGGTTCTAGCCCCCCTACCATTACCTCATTACCATATTCAGGGGGGTCACAGGGAGTTGGTATACATACAAATGACTGACATTCAGAATGTTCCAGGGGCTTTAGGAAATTTATACCAGAAGCTGGGAACAAAGAAAAAGTATATACATATGTTTTATTATAGCACAGTTGTTACATTTTGAAAGCTTCTTGTGTTTTTCACTCCATAAGACGGTTATTACTTATTGATAGAAATTAAGTAATACAAAGTAGTTTTCCACTGTCAGCAAAGTTTAATTTATTATATCTTTTTTTCTCATAGGTTACTGATGAATTATTGGAAAAAATTGCATCCAGAAGTCAGAATATAATTGAAATCAACATTTCTGATTGTCGCAGTATGTCTGATACTGGCGTGTGTGTTCTAGCATTTAAGTGTCCTGGACTTCTTAGGTATACAGCCTACAGGTGTAAACAGCTTTCTGACACCTCCATTATTGCTGTCGCCTCCCACTGCCCTTTACTGCAGAAAGTACATGTAGGCAACCAGGACAAACTAACTGATGAAGGACTCAAACAGGTAAATACATGGCATTTACAGAGCGATGTTACACACTAATTAAAGCTTTTGCAGCAACATTTTGAAAGATTGTTGCATTAAAAATAATTACTAGAGACTAAGTGAGCCATTTTTTTTTCTGTCATAATGAATATTTGCTTAGGCTAATGAGCTCGACGACCATAGTGAAGATTAGATATATTAATTTTGTTGTCTTTTACAGTGAGTGCCTAATTTCTGTGATGAGCCATTTTATTAGCTACTTTTTAAAATTTAATTTTTCTTTTTCAAAAATTTACTTTTTATTTTTTTTAGCTTGGTTTATACCATATTGTGCTTAAGTTAAAAATATTCAGTTTGCATCAGAACAAGTTTTTAAAAGTTAACTTTTGATTTCTCTTTTATGTTATCAGGTGGCATAACTTAAACAGTTTAAAATACTATTGTTTTAAAACATAAATGGAAGCTCAAATTGAAGAGCATAAAATAACAAAAAATGCTAATTACCTATATTTGGCTTATTATTAAATCAGCTCAATAATATACTTCTTTTTTGATATCCTTCCTTTTGGAATAGCATTTACCATTTCCTGACAGAGGGGCTTACTCATTCATGAAGGAAAGATCTTTAAATTGAAGCATTGTACATGAATGTGTTGAAAGTAGAGTTTGAAGAGAACTTTGGGAAGGCTGTTTGCATAGAGTCTACCGAGTGTGGCCGTTCACTGTGTTTATTAAAAGGGTGTCACAACTTACAAGAGAACCTAATATGTCATTGCCCAGGCATGCTGCAAAGTAACACTTTCCCTTACTTTAATATTTCCTGCTTTCTTTATTTTTTGTACAGGTAAAGCATTTATGGCATTTTTGAAATCAATTAAATTACTCTTTTCTAGAGAAATACATATTTTTATGGATGTAGCATGATTTTATTTATTATGACTTTTTGTTAACGTTTTTTATAGTTAAACATTTTTTAAGAGTCAATGTATTAACAGCTGGATAATCTTTTCATATTTAAGTGTCATGTAACACAGTAGGCATCCCATTAGCAGGCTAGTGGGGATGTTCTGAGTAGTAATTTTGCGAAAAAGAATGAAATCATAGTTGTCTTTCAAGCAAGTTTTTTAAGGGACAGAATACGGTTGTGACAATCAAATATAACGAACTTCATAATGTTGAAACTGATTATGTAAACCTCTATTACATGATCCTTTTAAAGTTTTGTGAAATTATTTCAGTATTTGTTTTAGGTTTTTATGGTTTTTGAATTATGAAGTAGCTTTATGCAATGCAGTATTCTAATAGAAACAGGAAGCTGTCTGAACATTTTCTTTCTAGCTAATTTTTTTTTTTTTTTAGTGATCAAAAGGATTCTTGCTGTAGTGTAGGGCACCGTTTCCCATCCTTCACTGTTCTGTAGTAAGGTGGCAGAAGTTAGCCTGGATTTGAGATTGCTCTGAATGACAGAACAGCGTTACGGGTATGGTGTGAAGAGGTTGGATTTTGTGTACATGTTGTATGCAGTGTACATCTATGTTTCCTATTTCATTCCATATTACTGTTTTAAATAAATGATGCCCTTGACCCACCTAGCGATTAATTTTATAACCTACTGACATTTGATGAATCGTGTTGTGTAGTATATTATGGCTTAGTAAAACAGTACTTTTATGGTGAACTATTCATGATTAACAATTTTCTGTGACTACTATTTCTTCTTGAACTCAGTAATTAAACAGTTAATTGTTGACTGTTGATTCATTCCCCCCTTCTGACAATAAAACTGACAAATGGTTCAGAAATGTATACATGCATTTTATTGATAATACCTTTGAAATGTCTTTCCTACATAAGTGCTACAATTTTGACTGGTTTTAGCAAACACAGAATATATATGCTTTTTAAGTTATTATTATTATTTTTATAAAACAAATACTAAAAGCATTTCAACTTAAAGCTCGAACATCCTAAGACTGTAATATTGAAAGTATTGAATTTTGCTTGATAATGTTTCTTAGACTATACTGATGTCCTTAAAAGTTCAGCTGTTTAGAAGAGTTTTGTTTTCTTCATTTAGTGTGTGTGTTCGTGTGTGTGTGCGTGCCACAGTGTACACTTGGAGGTTAGAGGACACCGTGGGGTAGTTCTCTCCTACCATGTAGGTTCCAGGGTTCAAAGTCAGGTAGTCACTGTACCCACTGTACCCACTGGGCCGTCTTGCTGCCCTCCCTGCTATGAAACACCTCATGTGTGCGTACACACGCTGTGCTGCGCAGGTGGAAGTTAAGGAAGCTTGTAGGAGCCAGCTGTCTCCTCTCTCATGTGAGTCTCAGACTGCATGCAGGCCACTGGGCTTGGCAGCAAGGGCCTTAACCCACTGAGTTATCTTGACAACACAAGTCAGGCTGTTTTGACCAAACATTATCTCCTTTATAAAATGCCATGTTCTGAATATTGATATTTGTATCTCCATAAAGATTATGCCATATTATCTTATCAATGGAAACACTTTACCAATATATCTTATGTATACCATCCTTCTCTTATAAGACTATAATCATGAATCTGGAGGAAAGAGCAATTTAATTAAGAATAATAGCTATTTAGTTTTCTTAATATTTTATCATCTAGTATTTGTATTCAAGTAAGTAATGGTTAGGAGTCAACTCATTAAAGCAAGTTTAAGAAATTATGTCCATTGTTATTATTTTATGTGACAGTCACAACTAAGTTTGAGTTTAAGTTGTTTCTGAACATAAGCCATTGTAGACTTTTTCCCGTGTTTTTGTAAATAAAAAATGAGTGTTGGGCTATATAATGTTTATTATTATTCCTATAATTATTGCAGTGGTATTATCTAACCTATCACAAATAATAAGACACAGATACCTGATAAATTTTATAATTCCCTTATCTATCTTAGGCTGGCAGATATTTCACCTATTCTGTCTCAGTCACCTCACCATCCATCTCCCATCACCCATCCAGTGCCATCTGCCTTAATCATCCTCATCTGGTCTACCTTCCATCCGTAATCCCAATATACTTGCTTATATTTTTCATCTTGGTGTGTTTTCCATCCATGCCATCCTTGGAGTCCTTCCTCCCAGCCTACGTGGCTCCTTTTCCACGCTAAAACCATCATGTCATCCTCTTTCCTCCTCTCTTTCCATCTGTTTTCCATGATTCACCTGTCCTCAAAAGCCTGGAAACCTTAGCCACACCTACCTTCTGCCTTGCTCAGGTACAGGCTGTTTAATCAACCAATCAGTTATGTCTTAGGCAGGTTTATGCAACAAGGATAGGTATATCTGGGGGATAAAAAGATCTTGAGGGCCAGCATCAGAACATTCCCTTTTCTATCTAAATGAAAAGGCCATTTTTTTTAATACAGTAAGAATAATTATGAAACAATTATAAAAACTGATGGATAAGATTGTTATTCATTGTCTAATTTAAATGTATTTGGCAATTCTTGAAGAAAATATCCTGTCTATGAGGTTTTGTACCTAAGTTATCTTTATAGTTTGTATCTGTCAACCGAAAAACATCCATCTAGACCTAAAACATCTTTTTAATTCCTAAGCAACTAAGCTAATTGTAATACTTTGACTATCTTGTCTTCAACCCCACCAGAGACTTGAGAAGGAATAAAATTAATTAGTTGAGTAAATAGGAAAGCTATTTACTCAAAAAGTAAATATGAAAAGTAAATCATGAAAGCTACTTCCAAAAAAAATAGAACATTGACAGAGATAGTTTGCTGCCTGAAAAGCCACCCAAAACTCTGTAACGTTGGAGCATCAGCCGTCTGTCCCAGTATATTTGACAGACATATATGTGAAACTAGGACTTGCTTACCCTGTCTTGGCAGAGTTCGGCAGTCGACTTGGCCAGCAATTAAGCTTACCAATTTTAGGCAGAATTCTGTCTTGTCAAGAAGCAAGGGCATTTTTTTTTTTCTTTTTTCTTTTTTTTTTTTTTTTTTTTTTTTTTTTTTTTTTTTTTTTTTTTTTTTGTCTGGATGGCTGTTTTGTGTCATTTGAAGCCTTCACCATGTGGAAGTTCTTCAGTGCTCATCATCTTCTTTGAGGTAGGCTGGGTGATGCCAGGAGATGATGTCTCATTGTCCAAGAATCTTTAAAATAATAAAAATATTTCTAAATGCCATATTCTGTAGGTTTTTGAAGACTTATCTATCTATATATAATCTATATATAGAGTCATATCTCTGTGTTAAACTCAGGATGTATGTTCCTGTTATAAATTAAACTAGTGTCTGATAGGACATGAGTTGATTAACAACTTGTATTATCCTAAACAGTTTGCAATACCAGTTTAAAAGTATTGGAAGTAACCTTGAATCTGTACCAATATACTAAAATTTATACCAGTGTCTCAAAAAATAGACTTATTTTTGCATTGATATATAAAATCTTATACCAATGAGTTAAAAATAACCTTATTTTAGAATAATAAATAAAGCCTTTAGTTTAGTAGATTCAATAATCTACCTTTTATCTTATTCCTATAACATATCCCTATATTCCCCTTTCTTTTTTTTTTTTAACCCTATTTTCCTTATCTAATAAAGATAGAGAAAAGAAAAGAGAAATCCCTGTGTCTAACCTTGTTTTCTCTCTGAATAATACCATTACTAACTTATAACCTCTACCAATGACAGTAAACATTTAATAGCTCAACCCCCTCTAGGGAAAACGGGATATTGTTCTCATGGGTTTCTTCTGGCTGATTGAGGGACACCAAGAAATCCTGTTTGTGGGCCCAAAGGAAATTGGGAAAATTGGTTAATTAAGCTAGCATTAACATTTGCAGTTCAGTCTTTGAATGTTGAGAAAGTTCAGGCTTAATAGAAGACCTGTTTGGAACAGTCTGGGCCAATTGAGATTAGTAGTTTTCTTTAAAGCTTCCTGGGAGCAGGCTTTGATGAGGAACAGCAACTGAAGCAGTTGAGGCTGGAATGAGCAGGATGCTGGAACAGATGTGTCAGCATCTCA